TGGATAACACTTTTCATTTGCAGTATTGTCGAATCGATAGAATATTGTTAATAATACATTTAATAACGAGTAAGAAGATATTTGCAGTCAATTTAATTCACATAAAAATTCATTCATTTCAAGTTAGCATAGAACTTCAATTAACAAAAAACATTAAATGCTCGCTGAACAAATCAACTAATTTTCTTAGTAAATTTAAAAATTCTAAAGCGACTATCCCTCTGTTCTAAACAAGAATTAAATATAAGAAAATAATCAAGAAAATGAATTTAATTTTAATAATAATTATTATTAATAAACTGATTAGATTCAATAAAAAAGGTAAAGTACCAACAGTAGCTTTAGCTAGAATATTTTACAAATAGATTCGTTCGAAGAATAAAATAAAGTTTTCGATAATTAGCAAATTAAAAAAAACAACAGAAGCATAAGTGCTTGCTTAAATAATGGCTAAAATAGATAACAATAAGAAATTTAACAAAAAAAGAATTTAAGATTAAATACCCAAGGTAATAATGCTTTAATTGAAAGGTGTGAAACAGAATAAGTTAAGCAGATGTCGAATAAAAACTAAGGAATGATCAAATTAGATCAAATTTTACCAAATTATTTTACTAATCACAGAGTTCTTACTGAATCAGCAGACTTTTCTGTCAAAAATATCAATAGATTCTAAAGTAATCAATAAGTTAATGTTGTAAGTTAAAGCATCCCTGGCAATTTCAAGCAAGAAGCTATGCAAAGTAACCTAATTAACATGAAGCATAATGAATCTATTCAGTTAAGTTAACCTTATAAAAATTAAAGTATCGATCATCATATATAATATAATAATTAAGATTAAAATATTTTAAATTTAAGTGAAATTGCATTTAATTAATCAGAAGTATTGAAAGAAAACAATTCTAATTTATAAAATAATTGTTAACTATAAAATGAATAATTGACATGCTTAAAAGATGTCTTTGACAAAACTTCTCAAAGCTTTTATTAACAACAAAATCAAATCAACAGCCAAATTCAATATTCTTAAAACAAAATTGATCATCTACAATAATAAAACAACTCATTTGTGGGAAAAATCTAAGACATTCAATTAAAATATGATTTGATCTAAAAGCAGTTAGAACAATCCTAATAAGAAAACAAATCGCTTAAAAAATAGCTCTCAGAAGAAAAAAATAAAAATGTAAACTTATAAATTAGAGTTGATCACCTCACGAAAAAAAGCAAATCATTGCAAAAGAAAAATGAACTACTACTCCTTGAAATAGATATGAACAAAAAAACCTACGAGATGAAGTGTGAAGCTTTGCTCAAATAAATTTATAATTATCAAAGTTTAGAAACAATTTAAGATAAAGGTAATTAATAGCAGCTTAATTAAATAAATCAGCAATATGAAACTCTACTTGAAAATTTCATAACGATTAATGAAAATGGATAGAACAATAATGTCCTTGATATTTCCAATTCCTAAGTGAAAAACATGCAAACGTTTGCTGATCCGGTAGATGATAAAGAAAACATTTAAATGTAAAAAATATTGTTTATTTATTATTTAATTTATTCTTTATATTTCCAATATATAAAAAGGAACAACTAATTTGTAAAGTAAGAAAACAATTCGAAGCTTTCTAGCCAGTTTTAAAGCAGCAAAGTATCTGTTTCACAGGATTTTATAAATTTAATCCATAATAACGAATAATATCAAAATAATTAATATAACATCATTGATATGAAAGACCTCTAAATTTAAATCAACCCTTCAAGCCCTTTTTCTAATTCAAACGCATCAAAAAAGCTAACGATGAAACTAAATTAATTGAGCTTGATTAATAGAAATAATTAGCCATATTAAATTAATGAAGATTTATGATAAATATTCAAAACTAAAAATACTCTTTATGTATCTATTTTGTAATGAATTTAAAGAAATGGCTTTGCTTATCAGATATCTTAATTAATTCATGTATATATGTATGTTTATATATTTATTTACTTGTTTTACATAAGCATATATATTTATAAATTGCTTATGCAATACAATAGAATAACATTAATATACTTATTTATAATAGAATTAAATTTATTATTATATATATATTTTAATCGATAGAGCTAATTTAAACTTCACGCTCTTTTTGATCATATTTCTATTCTTAAATCATTATTTTTCTATTATGAAATAAATATTTAGTAGAATAATAAATATTATATAATAAATTCAAAGAAATTTTAAAGTAATAAAAAAAGGTATCGAAATAGGTTTCGAACCTAACCTGAAAAATTGAAAACCCTGATTATAACCTCTTCGTTTATTTTTTTTCTCATATTGCTAGTATTCATAATTAAAATTTAAGAATTTATTTTTCATCCATATTGTTTTTTGACTATTCAATTATTCCATTCAAATATTTAATTTGGTGTAAACTAGATTAATTATGACATAAATGCGTCTTCTTTTATATAAAACTCTACTTAAAGAAAAATCAAAAAGATATTTAATCAAAACAAGGAGGGAAATTAAGATTCTATTAAATATTCTAATAGCTCACTATTTATTATTTTGATATAGATAGAAGACCATTTCTTGTAATAAAAAGAATACTTAGGGGATAGAAGGTTTTATAACTAAACTTTGCTAAAATAGTTGCATATTTAACTATATAAATACTCTTATAATTAAATAAAGCATGTGAAAAGTAGCTTTTTTTGTAATTTATTTGCCATATTCAAAAAAAGACATAAATTTGCTCTATATTAATATTACGAGTACTATGGTTATTTCAGTAAAGAATACAGCTTATTTGCATATTATTTTTACTATTAGAGTAGTTTTAACGTACAAAATAATATTAACTTAGCTATCTTTTGAGCATATTTTTCAAGTTATTGGCACTACATATCAAATATATATTTATTATCCGCAAATCCTTTATTCAAGAATAAATTTTTTGTGGAAACTTCAAAGAATATGAATACTATTTATATTTTACCTACTTTTTGTTGTTTTTATAAAAATGGTGAGGTATTTTGTCTAATATACATTTGTTATTGTATTTATTTCAACAATTACATATTTGCTTTGTTGATTGGCTCTCAATATTAAAAAATAAGATAATGCTTGACCATATTTAAATTTTATTTATAAAAGAAAAGGGTCTTTTAATAAGTTCTAGTTTAGAAAGTAGGCACAAAAATGTTATTATATATTTATAGTTCTAAATTTTATTGTATTTTAGAGCAGAATTTACAAAAATTTTGACATCTAAGCTTCATTTATTTAATGATCTATGTTTTAAATTATATTTTGGTTTTGCTACTTTAAAATTATTGTGCCATTTATTCATATTTTTACTATTAAGAAAACATAGAAAAATATTAATGATAAATATTATTTAGCTTAAACTAGTAAACAAAATAGATACCAAATTACTGCAATAATAGCTAACAGCTTAAGTTGTAAGCTTCTTTACTTCATTGTATTATTAAAGCTATGAATTGTTTTTTTGTTTTCTTTCTTTCATTCTTGCTTTATCTTACGTGTTAGTATGCTAACTTTATTTATTATGTCATTTTGCAATATTTTGTGATTGAGATGATGGCAAGTTGGGATATTTAAATCTTATTCATAAAATGATCTAATATTATTTAATGCGTATTTTTGAAATTTTAATATTTCAAATATTATTTTTAGAGATGATTTAATTAATTTACATCAGATTTTAACAAAAAATAATCATTTAAAAACTTAATGAATTTTGTTTATTGGCAAATAATTAATTAATTCAAATTAATTTGTTAGAAAAAAAAATATTGAGACATTAAAAAATGGAAACAATCAGCTAAAATCTTGAAGGATTCTAAGAAGCTAAATATAAGCTTGCATTGCATCTTCAAAACAGGAAAAAAATCAAAGAGATGTACAAAATGAAAGGTGTCTAAATGCTCGATAAACCTGAGTTAGTCAGTAAAAAATGATTAAATTAATATTAATTTTTTATGAAGAGATTCATAATTATTAATATATATTGATAAAACTTGCATACAGAAATTATTAAAACATTTAATTAATAAAATAAATTCAAAACATAAATTTAATAATTTATCCTGTCTTGATTCTAATCAAATTTAATCTTAATTAATAAAAGTTTCTGATATTTAAGAACCTAAGTTAAAGCTTTAATAAGCTTCAATTTATAAGACTATGAAAAACGAATTAACTAATAAAGGCTACTCTGATTTTAGATTTTTAGGATAAGGAGCATAGGGATTAGTTTTGTTAGCAAAGAATTCGAAAACTAAAATGAGGTATGCTATCAAAGGTGTTTAAGTTAGAGATCCTGAAGGAAATATTGACGAAGATAATAGCAATACAGTGAGACAAGAAATAGAAATACTTAAAAAATGTGGAGACTCTCCTTACGTAGTCAGTCTTTTAGATTAATTTGAAGGAAAACAATTCAGTTACTTAGTTCTAACTGAGTGTTAAGGTACAAATATTAATATTCATTTACTTTAAAATTAATAAAACCGTTTAATTGAAAGTTTTTAATGCAAAATAAATGCTATAAATAAAAAGGAACTCTCACCTAAATTTTAGAAAGGAACTAAAACAAAAGACTGAATGAAATATCAGCAATCAAATATGCTAATGACATTGCTCAAGGTCTCTACTACATTCACTCTAAGAACTGCCTTGTTAATGATCTGAAAATGGATAATATCTTAATTGATTACCATGGAAATGCAGTTGTTTGTAAATTGTTAACAAACACTAACAAGCTTGATTGATTTTCTATAAAATATTTTAAATAGCTGATTTTGGTATGGCAGATAACCTAACATATAAATCTGGCTATGCAATCAATCAATATGTATGAACATATTTTTTTATCAGAAATTAAAGTGGTATAATTATAATAAATTTCAAAAAATGAAAGATGGGAAACTTCTTGTATCAAGCTCCAGAGTGTTATGATCCAGCTGATTCAGATATAGGTAAGGTTTATCATGATGAATATTTAAAATTAGGTGTCAATGTGAGACTATAGCCAAGCAACAGAGTAAATAAATATTTAAAAAAAATTATTTTAATAAAATCAAATTATTATTATGCTTATTAATTTAAACAGAGTGAAGCATGTTCTTTAGGTATTAAATTAAATAAAAAATATAATATTTATTTTTATTTGCATACATTATTAAAAGGATATCTAATTTATACAATGGTCTAGGGAATAAATATTAGTTTAGCATTAAATAAGCACAAGCAATTAAATTATGATGGTGAATTTACAAATTTTGTTTATCACAAATAGCTTAAATATATTATTGAAGGATTAACTAATTTTGTTCCAAAGAATAGAATGCCTATTAAAGAGGCTTTAATTATTTTAAAGGGAATTATTTCTTTTGAATTTTAGTTAGATGACATGCTTATTGAGATGATAGATGGAAACACTCAACAGTTCACAAGTTCACTCAAAAATGAAATTGAGTTTGTTAAAGAATTTTCAAACAAGTTTTATCCAATCATGTATGTTTGTTTATTTTAATCTACTCTTTCGTTAAATTTTTTAAAGTAAAAATGAACAGACCTTAAACTAAGAGTTGAAAGAAGATCATCAAAAAAGATAATATGTTAATTTTTTATTTTTACTCAAAATATCCTCAATTTATTCAAAAAAATTCGTAAAAAAGGAGGCAAAAATAGAAGAATTATAGAAAATAAATCTTTAACTAGAATAAAAAATTAGTGAATAAGAAAAAACAATTAAAGCTTTATTAACCTAATTAGAATAATCTTAAAATTAGTTAATGAATCAACCTTAGATTAAGATGATGCCAACGATGATGAACACGAATTAGTAACATATTATTTTTTAAGAAATTAATAAATAGGAAAAGAAAAGAAAGATGAATTCCCAAGAAAAAAACTAACTTTGAATTCAAGAAATAAGTTTTTAACAGAAACCAATAAAAATATTATTAAAAAGAAAGTATACATTTTTCATCAGTTTACTTCAAAAAAATTAATTAATTTTAATATAATAAAAAATAGCATGTAATTAATTCCTTTCCAAAAGTCATTTATTAACTAAAAAGTTATCATTCAATTAAAAAAATTGAATAGCTAGTAATTTATTTCAATTTATTTGTAAAACCTTAATAATCTTCCATTAAAAATTCTTTAGAAAGTAAATTCCTTCAATTGCTAGAAATTAATATAATATCATATTCCAATAGCAAGTATATTTATCACCCTTTAATTATCCTTTTTAAATTATCTTAACCTATTTTAGCACACAAAAAAAGATGTAATTTTATTCAGTCAATTTCAATATATCAAAATATTTATTTTTTATTAAAAAGGAAGTAAATTACTTTGAAAATCATGATCATAAATTTATAACCATATTCTTTTAGAGGGTCTCATTTTTATCTATAGCTATTACTTTATTTATCTATTTCTCTAATATAGATTGTAATCTCTCATCCCTTCCTTAAAAAATACTAAATTTACTTATATTTTCAAAATAGCATGTAACATTTTTATCAGAAAATGCTTAAATTAACTTTTATATTCAAAATAGCAAGTAATTAATATTTTAGAATGATTTTTGATGAGAAAATAAATGCTGAATTAACTTTCATATTCAAAATAGCTAGTAATTAATTAATATTTTAGAATGATTTTTGATGAGAAAATAAATGCTGAATTAACTTTCATATTCAAAATAGCTCGTAATTAATTAATATTTTAGAATGATTTTTGATGAGAAAATAAATGCTGAATTAACTTTCATATTCAAAATAGTCGGTAATTAATATTTTAGAATGATTTTTGATGAGAAAATAAATGCTGAATTAACTTTCATATTCAAAATAGGGAGTAATTAATTAATATTTTAGAATGATTT